GCCCGAGCGGCCTCGAGGCGGGGACGGTCCCTGTGCCCGCGGGAGGGGGGTCTCTTCAGCTCGGGCTGTGTCCCCTCACGGGCAGCACTGGGGCTAAGCCACGACTATTTTCGGCAAGGAGGAATTCGGCAAAGGGTGTTTGCTTTCTTTATTTTATTTTATTTTATTTTTTGCTCGTGGGTGGATAAAATGTTCTTGCTTTGGCTCTCCTCAAGGTTGAACTCCTTTTTTTTTTTTTTTGTAGCCGGTTCCTCCGACCGTGGGAAAGATGCTACCTTGGCTCTGCGATGACATTACTGCCAAGTCTGGGATGGGGTGGGGGTTAGGGAACCAAGGCTTTGAAACCTCTGCCCAATTTTCCTCTTGCCGTTCGCCTGTCTCTTTCATCCAACTGGGCTCCTCCAACAACTGGATGCCTCCAGCGGGCCCCGTTCTCCAGCAGATGTACAACTTTCAATTATTTTCAGCACATTTTAATCAGGCCTGGCTCTGATAACGCCCTAATTAAAGAGACCTCGCTATCGGCAGCTCGGTTCAGAACTCAACTTTCTTATCACATTCCTGAAGCTTTGGGTCAGGCAACACCGGAAAATGCGGCCAAAACCTCGTTCTGCTCCGAGCTGAGTTTTGAAGGTCACCGAAAGTCTGCGCCGGGCCAAAAGTAACGTAGAAAGTGTCAGTGTTTTCTGAAAGTTAAAAAAGAGGCAGAGGGAAATGGGGAAAAGGGAGTTGAAGGTTGAGCCTCTACCCTGAGGGCTAAGGGAGGAGATAAGGAGCGAGAAACAGCTGTGGGATGGGAGCCCGTAAGGTACCGGCCTGTCAACGCGGCTCGCATCGCCGCGAAAGGAGCTCTGCTCCTGGGGCGAGGGGGATGTGAGAGACATTTAGCCGGGGACAAGCCAGTCCCACTTCTATCCCAGCCCCGCTGTCTCAGGGCTGGCTTAAGATCATCGCGAAGGTGAAGGTTTCAAAGTCTTCTACATTTTTTTTTTCTCCCCATTGCTCCCTTCGTTTCTCCCGCGCAACCCCGCAGGTTAATTAAGTCCTGTAATGTCGCTGAATCCAGGCTGTCTGCGGAGAGAATAAAATCGAGAAGCAACAACCGTATCCCTTTGTTGCCTCTCCATTTTACTCTCTCTGAAATTCCCCGTGATTTATCGATCGGCGGTGGTGAAGCAGAGACCTGCGCAGCGCCGAGCACCCGGCACCGAAGGGAACTGAGAGAGTAGCCTGAAAACAGTCCCGAGTGCTCCCTCTCGACTAACAAAGTCACCCTCCGGCCACATGCCACATCCAGACGGGGCTGTGGAGGATGCCCGTGCCGGAATAAGCAGGTTAAGAGAGAGATTTGGTTTCTTTTCCCAGCCCGCGTCGGACTTTTTGTTTTGGTTTGTTTTTTTGGAAGAGTGACTCTTGGAGGAGCTTGGTTCTCGGGGTAAATGCTGATGAGCCGAGAAGACTCTGAGATAATATTACTTTGTAATTACTTTTGTAGCTGAAGTTGTTTAGCCAGCTCCAAGTCATTAATGAAAGTTGGTGTCCAAGCACCTGATTTACGATTTCGTGTCGGCCCGGGGTCAGCAGAGGTGGTCTCTTTCCATCTGAATCTGCACGGTGTAGGAAACAAAATAGGCTGTTTATTATTTTGGAGAGCAATTTTCGCTGAAAGGAGGAGTTTTATTTTTGCATGAAACATTCCGCCTCTTTATTGCAGACTCTTCAGAAAGCTGCTCGTAGAAAAAAAAAAAAAAAGATTAAAGGGTAACTTCTAAATTGGAAACGGCAGAGGAGTACACTGAGCAGATGGGAATCTTCCTCTTTAATATGAGCAACAATTAATGAAAACATCCTTTTTATTACCGAAGCCGATCTGTTCTCTTTAAACACGAACGAGACTTCCGACTTTTCCGCCCCTCGGAGCGGGCTGCCCGATTCTCCTCTCCCCGGGGCGGGGAGGGCCCACGGGGGTCCCACCGCACCGCCCCACGCCCGCACCCTTGCCAAGTGCGTGTGCGGGGGAGTTTTGGGGGGGCACGGCTGGGGGGTGAACGAAGGGGCACAACCTTGCTGTGTCTTTTTCCCCGCCGTGGGCAGCAGCATCGGGGGAAGATCAAAAGGACGCAGTAACTGCGAAATATTTGGGCAGCCGGCGGCGGTGCCGTGGGTGCGTGGCGGTGGGAGCCTGCGGCGCTCGGCCGAGGGTAGGCTCCTCTCGCTCCACGCCTGCTCGGAGAGGCTTCGCGGGGAGCTGGGGGCCGAGGGGGGTCCAGGGCTCGGTTCAAGGCTCCCTCCTAACCCCGCTGTGGTCTCTTCGGCAGGTTACAGCACGGTGGCGTTCGACGGGACCCCGAGCTACGGCCACACGCCGTCTCACCACGCCGCTCAGTTTACAAACCACTCCTTCAAACACGAGGACCCCATCAGCCAGCAGCCCTCGCTAGGTAATTTCAGCCTCCGCGGGGTGCAGACCGCTCTCCCGGCCGCGGAGACCCCTCTCAAAGGGCGCTGGCAACCCGGAGAGGCTCCGGTGTCGCGCCGCTGTCCCCCCCCCGCCCCTCCTAGCACAGAGCTAGAGCTGCCCAAACGGTGGAGGACGGGACTTTGCAGTCCCCTCTGCAACGCGGGGCGGGGGGACACGGCCGGTCGCCGCAGAGGGGTAACTCTTTGCCGTTTTCTCCGCAGGGGACCAGCAGTACTCGGTGCCTCCCCCGGTGTATGGCTGTCACACCCCCACCGACAGCTGCACGGGCAGTCAGGCCCTGCTCCTCCGGACCCCCTACAACAGGTATCTCCGCCGGCAGGCAGCTTTGCCTGGCCTCCTCCTGCGCGGGTTGTAGCTCGGACCCTGGCCTCTCCCCCGCATGCCGTTCAAACAGCTTTCTCTTTTCTGCAAGGAAACAGATTTTTTTTTTCCTTTCTCAAAAGAAAAAAAAAAAAAGATTCACACGTTAAAAAAGAAAGAAAGAAAAAAAAAAACCAACCCACAAAAAAAAATCAAAACCCCCAACAAAACCAAAAAAGCCTCCTCCCCGGGCCCCGCCGTGTCTCGGAGGGTTCCTCGCCGCCTCGGGGTTTGCGGGGGGTGGCCCCGCCGCGGGGCGCTGGCCGAGCATCCCCCGCAGGGCTCGGAGGAGCCGCTCTCCGGGACCTGCCGGCCCGCACC